TGCCGCGCATTAGAAGGGTGCGTATGCCCGTGTCCCGGTGAAGCGTGCCTAAAAAGCCTCCACACAGAGTGGTTGGGTCACGTGTTGCGGACAGATAGTGCGCCACGAAGCGTGGTTACACGCGGAACGATCTATAAGCCAACCCTTCCGTCCCCCTAACGAGAACGAGTTTAACCTCCCCTCGTTGAAATTACCATGGAAAGAAAGAAAAAGCTTCTAGAGGGTGAACCACATCTCGAAAAAGGGGGAGGGTTAACTTTTATAACGACCGTCATCAAGCGTTACAGGATATAAACCGTTCGTTTCTGTGTACGCTTGGCACGTGTGCATGTGTGTGTGCGTGTTGTGTTACGAATGAAAAGAAAAAAAGAAAAACAAAGGGGATGGTTTCGATCGGATGAACGAAAATAAATAATCGATCGGGACCGTTTTAATGGAATGCCTGTACTCTGCGGTTGTTACCGGGAAACCTGTTATATACCCTGTGTGTTTGCATTATCCATTATGGATATACAAGCGAGGAGCGTGTATGCAGAACGGGCGGTAACACGCGACTACGTATTGTGTAACAGAAATTACGCTTGTCTCTGCGCCGCCGGCACGCAACACCGGCGATCTATTAATTCCCGCGCGCGCCACGACTATTACGATTCGAGTTAACGGGAAAAGCGCTTGTAATTGATCGCCCTGTCGATCAGTTGTTTCGTACGTGGAAATAGCGCATTGATGAGAAAAGTTGTTCGGTTTTTAATACACGGCTAATTTCACGTCGAATTGCTTTCCTAACCTCTCTCTCTATGTCATTACTCAACACATCTTACTAAAATTGTATCTAATATTAATTCAGAAAATTCCCACACTATCGCGCTTAATAATTCGAACCTAACCTAACCTAACTTATTCACACAATGCTTAACACATGACTAATCGAAGAAAAGGGAAGGTAAATCGTTTAACAGCGATCATTTCGCGCATCTACGTGGAAATCCAGGCGCGAAAGGCACTCTGGTGGGCGTCGAATCGCTCGCACGACCATAAATCCAGCTACGATACTCCCTATGGACGAGCGTGGCGGCCCACGCGGCGCGACACACGCACTAACGCGCGAGCACGCATCGTGCACGCCGCTGGACGACCGGCGCATTATTGTGTAATAAGTACGTGCCGTACACGCGGTGCACGGTACGTGTGCATGCAGTGATAATGCGACGTTTAATTATTAACGTCACACATACACGTACAACGCATATTCCCATAGCCGCATGTGTACCTGAGAGAGAGAGAGGGAGAGAGAGAGAGAGAGAGAGGGAGGGAGGAGCGGCTGGTATTACACACGACCTCGTTAGTCGTTGCCGCACCGTGAATAATAAATGTTTATATCCGGCCTCTCTGTCATCATCGTTCCTGTTCGCGTAAACGAGCCGGCGACGCGGACGTGCCACGAGCACTGGGAACAATTTCATTATTCAGAGATCACCGGTGACCCGGTCGCTACTCACATGAGAAATCTCTTTTATCTGACCATTTTTTTCCTTTTCGCAACACTTTAACACGGGAATGATTCAACGAAGTTAAAAAGTCACATTAGACTATGCGTTATGATAGAGGGTAAGATTAGCGGTGCCCGAAGGGTTCTAACGCGGTTTTTCCTTGATCAACGATAGCACGTGACGATTCTGTGATTTGTGCAGTGCACATACCGAGTGTACGTCTAAGTCGATAACCATCGGTAATACGATACTCCGTGGCGAGGGAGCGTGTTTTGCTAATGGCTCGTGTCGCTGGCGTGGTAGATGTCGGTTGGATAATTAAATATAAAATTGCTATGTACGCGGCTCTAGATCGTGGATAATCTTGATTTCCACGAATGTTCGATGAAAACACTTTCGAAGTCGCACGAAGTTAAAGTTTGGAATCCCGGGCTCGAGAGCATAGGCAAAATTTCTCGGTATATGGCGACGAGGGGTCGACGAAAAAAGTTGCGGCGGTTTCTCTGCTCGATATATACCCAGGAACCAGCGAGCAATTTGTCTCCGGAGGAAGGACGAAACGGCACAGGTATGTCACATGTGCGTGTACAGGTTAGAAAGAGTTCCAGCGGGAGAATTCCGCGGTGCTTTGGTCCCCTCTCTTGTGGAAGAAACAGCGAGAAAGGGACGAAAAAAAGAAGATACCAAGGCTGTAAAACAGGAATGAAAAAGAAGAGTGGCGGAAGGTGTAAGGTTGAAAGGAGAAACAGAGAAAGAGGCAGACCGCCCTTTTCTCTCGCGGCAAGGGCGAAAGGGAGGCGCACGGAGGCCAGAAAGAAGGAACTACGGACGAAGAGCATAGAGGGAGGAGGGAGGGGGGAAAAGGGGCTCGACGGAGAATCGCGGCGGAGAGAAGGAAATAAATTGTCGAGGAGACAAATGCCACCGTGATCGGCCGCTAATTTATTACGGGGATCGGAATTAAGCCGACAAAAAGCTGAAAAAGCCCCGCATAGGCATCCCGGTAGAACAATGTGTTGGGTGTGTTCGATGGCCGGTTAGCAGTCTCTCTGCCGCGACGAAACGAGAGGAGCGCGACATAAAGACGAGGAAAGACTAACCCGTGTGCTGAATGACTGCGAGAGAGACGAAACACCGTTAAAAAGAGAGAAGAAGACCACGCTGTATTTCAACGTACCCATACACGTACACCCTGTCCAACGGGAGGAACGAGGAGAGAGAAGGAAGGAAAAAGACGGACGTAAAAAAACGCACCGTAAGGTAACGTCCAGGGAGAGAGAGAGCGAGAAAGAGATGTAGCCGAGTGAGAGCGACAGAGAGATACATACACACATATACGCAGAAGGAACCTGAATGATGAAAAGGAAGAGAACAGCCTCTGCCTCGTTCCGTGTTCGACGGACAGAGAAACCAGGATAGAATGGACGAGGCGATCGTGCGAAGGATAGAGAGAGGGAACGCGAAGAAACCGGCCTGGAGTTCGAGAAGGACGGATAGAGGCTCGCTCGCTCGGCAGTTGGTTCCCACGGCTGCGCAGCATACCTCCACCTTCTCTCGCCTCTCACTCCACTCCACGCGGCTCTCCTGCTCGCTCATCGCTCTTTCTCGGCCTCGTGCTCCTCTTTCGCCTCGCTCTATCTCGCTCCGACACTCTTTGTCGCGTTATTCCTTTCCTTTCTATTCTGCAATCCGTCTGTCTTTATTCGATTCGTTCGAAAAATAGTTCTATCCACGTTTCACTCGTATCGAGACTATATCTAGCCGCTTCTTTTACCCGAAACATACAGGCCTGACTACTACTCTCCTCTCGTCCGTCCTTCTTTCGTACGCGCGCACAGTTTCGCCACGTAGGTGCGCGCTGCAATCTCCTTCGCCACGGCATCAGTATATGCATATGTATGCACGTATTAATCATCGCGGAAAACGGTCCCGACGCAGCGAGAAAGAAGAAACAGGTAGCCAGACGTGTACACTGGTGTATAGATGCGACCGGCGATTCGGTTGTATATCGAGGCTGAAGCTGTTAATACTGCTGGCTGCTGCTGCGTGTGATTCATCGTGGAAAAAAGAGCCGGAAGTCGTCGCTACGACTTTTCGCCGCGTCCTGGGAAAACGTGCGGCTCACCCTGTACACGAGATCTTCCCCATAACCGGTTCAATCGACTGGATGTACTATTTTTTCTTTTCATTAATACCAGAGAATGTTTCTGCATTGCTTCCTGATAATATGTAAAACAGCGGATAAAAGTGAAGTGAATTTTTCTTAATTGAAAGGAGGGGGTAATCGATTAGGTAAGTGAGGTTATAAAAAGGGACGCGGCATCGCGGAAAGCCGGTCGTCCTAGCGGCGCTATTTTTAACCATTCACGCTTTAATGTCTCGCGCTCAAGGAGCGTAGCATTTCCGCATGGAGAAATTTTCGTGGCCTCCATTCTTCGTCGAAAGGAGGAAGAGGAAACCGAGGATAACGAGCGACGACACTGGCGAGAGGCTCTCTTCGTCTTTAGGCCGCCTCTTATGAGGCTCACGACCTATGAAAACCGTGTGTGAATGCGATAAAATCGACGAATCGGATCGTATAGCTCCTGGTGCCGTCCCGCTTGTCATCTTCTCGTGGACGC